CGAGGACGAGAAACTACTATCGACTTAAAGAGGCAGCGCAATGTTTCAAAAAATGCTTGTCGTGGATGGAATCACAGAACGATATTGACCCTGTGCATGCGCAGTTAATGCACCTAAGACGAATGATGGACTTTGCAATGCGATCAAGCTACAAGTCTGAAGCAAACAAACATACTTGAACATTTTAAACCTTTGTAAATACCTGAACTGCAAGTTTTTGTTTGTAAATACATACAGGCTGTGTAGTTTTCTTTGCTGTAGACCTTTTGTTTACATTTCTATCTCATAAATATTCATATTCTCGATTATCCGGATTATTTACTGAAACTTTTTTACTGACCTTAAATTCAACCTATGACTTCCACACAAAAGGCTTTATACTTTTATGATGACTTAAATGGAGAACTGAGAAATTATCGTAAATCGTTTTACTTCATTTGCAGTCTCAGTCAACTTATTATTGTCCTTTATATATGCTTCTCATTAACGATAAATTTGTATTTGTAGTCAAACAAGGTACACCAAGTTATGATGAATTGGAACATCTTGCCTCAAAGCTTGGTGGTGTTTGGAAAAAGCTTGGGCGCCGCTTGGGCATCGAAGAGCCAAAGCTTGACGAAGTGAGCAAATTAAACGAGGAGCTGTCTGAAAAGGGATATAAAATGCTCCGGCATTGGAAGGCACTAAACGGTTCAGCCGCAACTTACCAGATTTTGGCTCAAGCACTACATCATGAGCTTGTGAATCGGCGAGATTTAGCGGAAGAATTTTGCTATGAGCAACAATGAATGGAAATGTGTCCTTAGAGTGTATGCAAAGATTGCATATATTTGTATGTAAAATTTAAAATGGAAAACTAGACACTGCCATAGCAAGTGAATTATAATCTTGAAATTTTTAAACCCGAAGGTAAGGCTATTTTTTCCGTTTTGTAGATTTTTGATCTTAAATTCGCGCTTAGTTGCTTCTCTCATTATGCATCAAATATAACTTCTAGGCGTTCGTAGCTGACAATTAATTTGATCTCTAGAGCCCGAAACTACAAAATTATTTATGTAAGGGCTGTGTTCGATGAAGTTCTACTATTTTTGAGTGGCGAATTTTGTTCAATGCCTTCATAGCAAGGTGTATCATAGATTCTAGACGGGCTATACGCCCACTGAAACGGGAATGGTTTCTAGCGACTCCTAAGGAGAAATATCATTTGTAGCAATAGTATTTTTTAAAAGTGAACGTTGTATAAAGTTTCACTCTAAAATAATTTATGATTAGTTATATATGTTCATGTTTTTAAATATTTTAGGGGTATTCAATTTGAGATGGTCAATTATTTGATACTAACATGTAACCACAGACTTTTTTTTTAACAAAACACCATCTTTTTATTATTATCACACAAAACATTTTTAGCATACTTGTAAGTTTAGATGTAATCTAATCTGTTCACAATTCATTTTAAAATACAGCGGGTGTACAGAACACACGTTTGAGTGTCCATTTATAGCCCGAAATCAGGTGTACGGATACAGGTAGCGTACCCGTACGCGTGTAATGTTCATGTGCGTAACTAATTTGATTAAGATATATACCCGAAGAGTTAACACGCTGGGATTGGTAACGATTGTTTACAAAGATGGTGGCCGCGGCGGCAAGGTTTGCTTTTCTTCCTCAGAAATAAGTTATCTAAATTGTTTAATAAAGTCTATCAAATGTATCCAAAATTCTCCTTTACGAATGTTCTGTCTTTAGAAAGTACGCCAATGATATGCTTCTTCTCCATACGTTTGTCACTGGGGATGAAGACATCGAAATTCTTCTTGCGAATGCCTTAAGCGAAGTTCCGTGTGGTGTTGACTTAGGTTTAAAAATTGACCTTGAAAGTCTGGACGAGCAAACTTACATCGACCTGTTTAGGTAACACCGATTTTGAATTATAGTCGTGATAACAAAGGTAGGGTATTCGAACTCTCCAAACCTTACAACTTTTCGACACAGGTTAAGCAAAAACGACCTTAGAGTACTACACGCTCTTTCAATACCTGCTGTGTACAAGTGTCCAAATGGAACTGTGGCTGGTGGTTTGGAAGCACTGCTTATCCAACTACGAAGATTGACATATCCAAACTGTTTGTGTGATTTGTGTCAGTTGTTTAGGAAGACCCGAGCCGGAACTCAGCATGAC